CGTCCAGAAGAAAACAAGATAGCTTTCGCACTGGAGATGTATGGGCTGGTTTTAACGTCTGTATCCTGACACCAAAGAAAGTCACAAACACTTGATGGGGGCAGACGACTTGAGGGACGGAGAACCGACGACTTGAGGGACGGACAACTGAATAGGATCGGACAAAAGGGGCCGTAGCTCTTCAACCGTAGCTCAAACGAATCAATGGGTATCGTAAATGAGTATGTCAAGTCGTTCCGGACGTATTGGGTATACGGTAAGCGGAGCGTGGAGTGGAAACTCGGCGTGGAGTGGAAACTCGGAGCGTGGAGTGGAAACTCGGCGTGGAGTGGAAACTCGGAGCGTGGAGTCGAAACTCGAAGCGTGGAGTGGAAACTCGGCGTGGAGTGGAAGATTTTTAAAGCGTGGAAAACGTCTTCAGAATTCCTGGGAATTCCGCTGATGTCAGTGTTCCGTGGAATTCTGCTGACGTCAGCGTGTTCTTTTCGAATGACCGTTTCGTGTCGAATGACCGTTTCGTGCGTTGGTTGCTTTCGGGGAGCGAAAAGAGAGAGACAATGGCGCTTTTCAAGGTAACAAGCGGTCGTTGTTGTTATTGGAGATAGCAGACATGCAATAGACTCTCATGCAGTCGTATAGCTGTCTTCGTATTGATTGGAAGTGGAGTAGGAGGCGAGAACGGTCGATCGACCTTTCGGTCGGTCGTGGAGACTCAAGTAAGCGATCGTTTGTTGGTTAACAAAGGATCGAATGGCAATGAGGATAGTAGTAGTAATAGTAATGATAGCAGCGTTGGCATTAGTAGCGGTAGCAGGGCTCCTCGTAACCTGTCGGAGGACTCTACGACTAGTAACTTGGTATAACAAAGAACTAGAAATGAAAGAGTGAGAGGATCGCTATTCGATCCTCTGGCTACCGGTTGACTGACAGACTGTAAGTCGCGTGACATCTCTACCTTTCTACTGAGGAAGGCTACTTCTCCAGTTACGTCCCGGATGTCATTGAAGATGCAAAGCAGAACGGGGATCTGATCTTCACCGTTCCTTGTTGTCTTTTTGACCCAAAGACAAACAAGGGATTGGTGTTTCAAGAGAAGGCGACAGTCGCACAGTTGAAGTTGGCTCACCCTTGTCATGTCACATGGAACAAAGCTGACTTCAAGAAGCTGTACCAAGACATCCCAGAAGACTTCGACGAGGACGCCACAGTCCCAATGCCGTGCGAATGCGAGACTCGATTTGGCTTATCCACTTGTGCCATTGCTTCGTTTCCTTTGTGCTTTCTTGACTTCGACCGAGTCTTCTACAGTCTCAAGGGGAAGGTTTCTGAAGATTCACTGGAAGCTGAGGAATTCTTCGACTTGTCTCCTCCCAAAAAGCGCTGGTGTGCTTACACGTACTACTCACTCAATGTGTTCCATCTTAGGAAGCGTACACGTCTTCCTGACTGTGTTGTCTATGCGATTAAGTTGAAGTTCAGGGATGCGAAGGATGCTGAATCAATTGGAACTAAGAGGAAGGAACCGCCAAAGGAGTACACCACAGAGAAGGTGGCCTCGAAGAAGGTGAACATGGAATTGGAGGAAAAGAAAGAACGCGATGAGTTGAAAATGGTCGTTGACCTAGAAGAAGAGGAACGTGCTGTGAAAGAAGCTTTCGAAAAGGAAAGTAGACTCAGTGCATTCCATGCGTACACCGAAGAAGTCAAGTCGATTTCGTCCAAGTTCGGTGACTATTGGGATAATGCCATCCGCATTGCTCTTGAGTGGAAGAATCGCTCCAAGCGCCTTGATGACTCCCCCGGTTACAGCGTCTAATCAAAAGAATAATAGTGAATTGTTTTAAGTGTTATGGTATCTCTACGTATCTTCCTCGATGTCTAATAGATCATCAAGTAACTGGCCCAGCATTGGAGAGTTTTCACCTGTTCTTTCTTCCACGAAATCCAATCCATCGAGTGCATCCACCTGTGCTGACTCACGTTGGGAATGGGTCATGGATGCGAACTCATCCACCGTTGGTAAACCGGTCACTGCTTTGCTCTTCTTATTGTTTGAACAAAGGGAGCTATTGCTTCGCTTGTGACCCCATTCGCCACAAGAGCGACACCAGTTTCCTTCTTTCTCGCCCTCCGGACATGGCAGATTGGGTTCTTTACTTGCACATTTGGCCTTTGTCTTCTGCCTTTTGGCTGGATGTTCTTCCATTGCAATACCTGACTGGTACACTTTGTCCCGCTCCTCTCTCATGGTAGAGTGGTATTCCATAATCTTAGCATAGGTTCGCTGGTTCCTTTTCAATTTGTGTGCCACAGTCCTTTCACGGATAGCTTTCTTGCTTCTGATTGCTTGCTGCTTTTGTAGGAAGTGGGCTGTAGAATTGTCAACGTCCAATCCAAGTTTGCTGTAAAGTGTCTTGAAGAATTCTTCAAAGCCAAGGATGTGTACTCCTATTGCCATCATGACTCTTCCTTTCAGCGAGAGAAATCCGGCATAAGTCTTGTTCTTTGGGGCATACCAAGAAATGAGGTTGTTCAGAGATTCGTTGACGTTTGTGTCGCCAGTGTGCACCACCTCTTCAAGACGGCTCATGGTGATGAACTGCGAGATAATATCAAACAGGGCGCTGAAAAGAGGTTCCTCCTTTTCCTTGTTTCGATAAAACTTGCCAGATTGTTGTTTCTCCTCGGCGGTAGCTTCTTTCCTCTTGCAAAAGTCGCCACAGTTTGTGTGGATGTCAAACAGATGATTCAGGATGGCGGAAGCTCTTGCTTCCCATTCTTCCTTTGGGATGTCTTGTAGTTGATGAATAAGACAGATGAATGACATCGTCAACCGGATAATGTCACCCTCTGTGAATCCAATCTTTTCTTTACAGGTTTCCCCTTGAATCGGTAGAGATGATTGCGCAAAGTCTTCTTTCGATGAGCTGGATCGCCAACGAACTTCGGCTCTGGCACGCGAAGAGAGAGGTTGCCTTCTTTTCTTTTCACGGTAGTCCACTTGTCTTTCAGCTCACCGGTTTTCTTATCTTTCACCTCGTCGAGCTTGTAGTGGTCGACTGGTGTCACAGGTAGATCCTTGTTGGCCCATCGAGTGTTTGCTTTCATCGTAGAGTCATCATCCGTAACTATCTTGGCCACCCCAACTTGGTAGTTGTCGAAC